CCGCAGCCGCCGCAGCCGCCGCCGCCGCCAAGTACATTCTGCATTGTTTTTTGACAGAGATGGTCGGGGTCGGGGGAGGCCGCATCGGGTTCGCTGCGCATGCTCCGAATTTGGAGGCAGAGTGTGTTTTGTATGGTTTATTCTACAAGGGATGGTGAGAGGGCGTGGCCTCATTGGCTCGGGTTGGCTCCCAGTCGCCTGGGGGAGGAGGTGTATATTAATAGGGAGCAGTGATGAACCCCTCCCCGAAGGGGAAGAAGGGGGTGGAAGAGGAAGCGCCCTAAACCACCTACGCCCCAAAGGGCTGGTGGGATTCGTGTTCCTCCGATGGGGCTCCTCTTAGGGCTGTCTTGGGTTTGCCAGAGGGCCTCGTGGGCCGTCTTGGGGCTCAACCGATGGCGCAACTGCCATTAATCTCGGACGCCGAGGGTGCAACCTATGGCGCAGCAAATCGGAAACGGTTTTCTTCTCAGCGGCTGAGGGCACAACCTATGGCGCAACCGACAGGAAACGGTTTTATCCCCGGCCCCGGAGGGCGCAACCTATGTGTGCCCCTGGTACGACCAGGACGCCGTCAACGCACTCACCGTGCTGAGGGCCCGCGAGTAGTACGAGGACGAAGCGTGGGCATCCAAATGCGTGCGGGGCTACACACGGTGTATGCTCGCCGTTTGGGCTGGCGGTGGGGCCCAAGCGGCGAGCTGTCTTCTGACTTCTTTGCATATTGTGGGGCGTTGTAGGTAAAGATCGCGGACGCGCTGGCAGAAAACCGCACGGGTCGCTGAAGACCGCGGCCTCCAATGCACGCCACCTTGCGGTCCTGGCGTCGAGGGCGGGTTGCTTGTATTGCGAGGTGGGAGCAGACCCTCCCCGGCAGCAGGCGAAAAACAAACTTGTTGCTCCGAGGTTATCCATTACCGAGCATGATTTGACGCGTGCGGGTGAGTCTCTGGTTCGTTGCAAGAACTGTTTGCGTGTAGCTCGAACGGCCGAGAGTTATCGGCCCCTTTGTTCCTCGCCGCGCCTGGGGCCGCCAGTCTCTGGGGACGGGCGCGAAATTGTGACATGGGGCCCCACGGGGATCTGTGAGCTGCGCGGCCAATGCAGTCGGCGCATCGGTAAAAATGTTTAGAAGCTCAAGCTTAACTGGCATGGCCCGCCACGGAGTCGTAGCGCGCTGTCTAACGTCAGGCACGGTGTTAAGCGTTTCAATGCGGGCTTTGAGCCCAAGAGTGGAAATCCCATTCCACCTTCGTCTCTCAGGTATTGCCCATCTTTCGATGTGTTTTCCGTTCCTGGCTGGCGCCTCGTCGCCTCCTGTCTGTGACCGGGCCTTGGCGACCTAGTATTCCTTTGACCGACCTCGAGGGTTGATCCGCTGGCGCCCTGGGTTATCCGCAAGGGCTTCGCTCTCCGCCGCGGGCCCCCTCTCTATCATAATGGGGTCTGCTATATCAGAGTCGTGTCGGTGCGGCCGGGCGTTGTCTTGGCGCATCTGGGAACATCTTGAGAGGGGCGGACAGGAATCACCATCGCACATTGAGACGTTGGCGTTGTCCTTGTGGTCTTCGGCCAACCCCGCCACCGTACCTGGGCTGTGGGTCTAAGACCTCTTGTATACGTGTTGGGGTGTCGTGGGATGTCTCTCGGGGGCCTCTTGGAGGCGGTTTGGGCGACGTTGGGGAGCCTCTGAGGGCCTCGTGGGGTCTCTTTTGGGCCTCTTGGGGGCCTCTTGGGCGCGTCTTGGGCGCCTCTTGGGGCCTCTTGGGGCCTATATTGGCGGCCTCTTGGGGCCTCCTGGCGTCTTTCTGGTGCACAGGAATCGAATTTTCGGTTCGTGGTCCCCTGCTTGGGCCCCTCCTGCAGGGGGCCGTCTTGGGGCCCTATTTGGGCCGTCTTGGGCGCTGCCTGGGCCGTCTTGGAAGCCCTCTCGGCGGCCTCTCGGGCTGTCTTGGGGCGGCCCTGGGAGCCTCTTGTGAGCCGTCTTGGAGCGTCGGAGAACCGAGAAGTCGAGAAGGCCAACATAGTTTGAACATCTACGTGAAATCGACGATTCGGGCCTCTTGGAGCTCTCTGATGTGTTCGTTGTTCTCCTCCTCCTCCTCCTCCTCCTTCTCCTCCTCTCCCTCCTCCTCCTCTCCCTCCTCCTCCTCCTCCTCCTTCTCCTCCTCCTCCTCCTTCTCCTCCTCCTCCTCCTCCTCCTCCTCCTCCTCCTCCTCCTCCTCCTATTGCCTATTGTCCTGTTTAGCAGGCGCACTGGCTGTGTGAGCGCTTGAATTCAGACTTTTCCCGCCTACGCGCCGGACGGCGTATGGTTTCGTGCTCGTGCTCGTGGAGCTCTCTGAGGACGCCTCGTGGAACGCTCTTCGGCCCCTGTTGGGGCCCTCTTGGGGCATCTTGGAAGTATTCTGGAGCCATCTTGCGTAATGTATGAAGGCTTGTTGTTTCGGCCATGCGAATATGGTGTAATTTGCTATGGATGGTGGTGGCCTCGGAGACGCCCAGCTTGTATACTTTACGATGGTTGTATGGCCTCGGGGACGCGACATTTATGTAATTTACGGGAGATTGTGGCCTCGAGGGCACGAATCTCATGTATTCTCACGTGTCCAGCGGCCTCCCTGGAATTCAGACAACGCGATCCGGTCGTGGTTGCTGGGTGGTTTGGGCCCCCCTCGCGTGGATTTCAACAGTCTGCAGTAGGAAGCAGACAGCAGGACTGTAACATTGGAGACTTGGGATTGCACTTGGTGAAGGAAGCAGCACACTTTGTCCTACAGCCTGGTGGCCCCGCAAGGGGGCCGCGGATCCTTGGGGCGCCGCCAATTCGGCTCCCTCCCATTACTTCGGGTTCGGTTGGGGCCGCTGGACTTGTAACCTCCTCCCTCATGTCTCCTTCTCCCCCCTCCCCCGTACTCTCTCACGCTCGATTTCCTCCTTCCCCATCTCCTCCTACTTCTCTTCCTCCTCCTCATCCTCCTCCTCATCGTCCTTGTCTCCTTCCTCCAGCCTCCTGATGACCCTTCCTCCTCCTCCTCCTCCTCCTCCTCCTCCTCCTCCTCCTCCTCCTTTTCCTCCTCCTCCTCCTCTTCCTCCTTCTCCTCCTCCTCCTCCTCTTTCTTGGCCTCTTCAATCCGATTCCCTTTCGTCCTCGTTGTCCTCGTCTTCCACCTCCTCATTCCTTCATGCTACCGCTCCTCATCGTCCTCTTTGTCGTCACCCGGCTCCGCCCGCTGCTCCCCGTGTCCCCCGCTTCCCGTTTTCGGCGCGCCCTCCTGGATGCCCCATGGAGGCCCGCGAGAGGCCTCCAGAGGCCAGGCAGTGCCAAGGGTGGTCGCCACCGCAGGGTCCATTCGATCCGATCGGTCCGTTCACAGATAATGATTCTGGCCGGCCTGATCCGATGCGACTCTGGTATTTCGACGGTCCGATGCGACCCGATGCCTGCACGATCACGTTGTGCATCGTGGCGCAGCCCGTGCGGTTCGATGTCGACTCCGTGCCGCTGCGGCCCGAGCCGACGCACTTTTCGATCCGACGCGATCCCCCGATTCGACTTTGACCGCTCCTGCCAACGGGTGCCACCGGCTCCTCCTGAGGGTGCTCTTTGTGTGATTCTGGAAGCCTCGGGGGGGTCTCGTCGGGGGTCTTGCAGGGTTTGGAGGGGCCCTCCTCCTGCAGGCGGTGGTGGCGCCCCCGGCGGTGACCAACCTTGAGCGATCTCCGTTGTCGGGCTCCAGCGAGCTACGCGTCGTCAGAGGCCAACGTACGCCTCAAGGCGACAGGCCGCATCTTCTCGATGCGCGGGAAGAGGGCTGCGGCAGTCTCTGATGCAAGGGGGCGTTTCGCGCTCCTGCCGGAGCACTCCTCGGCCCAGCCAAGAGCTTGCATGCGACGGCTTGCAGGCAGTGGGATGGCGGCCCTGATCTCACCAGAGGCACGCAAGGAGGCGAGGAGGAGGAGGAGGAGGAGGAGGAGGAGGAGGAGGAGAAGGAGGAGGAGGCAGAGGGAGAGGAGGAGCCTGCAAAGGCCGAGTCCGGCCGCGCGCGTCGGTGGCCGCGTCGGCGCGCACGCGATTCGCTCGCCGCGGGGCCTTCCTCGGAGTCGAGGGCCCCGGGGCGCAAAGAGGCGAGCAACATGTGCTGAAGGCAGGTCGTGCTCGGGCATCGGGCCCCCGATCCTCAATGCCGCCTGCTCCAGCAGCCCGCCGCTCGGGTGTGCGCCCCCAGGATGCTCCGGGAGGCTCAGGTCCCTTCCAGAGCATCAATCGCGAGGGCCCCGAGGAGCTCCAGGATGGCGCGAAAAGCCTGGGGCACCTCTTGCCACGATAGGAGCAGGAGGACGAGGAGGAGGAGGAGGAGGAGGAGGAGGAGGAGGAGGAGGAGGAGGAGGAGGGGGAGGGGGAGGAGGAGGAGGAGGAGGAGGAGGAGGAGGAGGAGGAGGAGGAGGGTGGAGAAGGGGCCGGGAAAGGAGCAGGAAGAGTCGAAGGAGCAAGAAGAAGAGGAAGAGGAGGAGGGGGAGAAGGAGGAGGAGGAAAAGGAGCAAGAGTTGGAGAAGTAGGCGAGAGGCGATGATGAAACAAAAGAGAAAGATGAGGAAGAGGAGGAGGAGGAGGAGGAGGAGGAGGAGGAGGAGGAGGAGGAGGAGGAGGAGGAGGGGGAGGAGGAGGAGAAGGAGGAGGAGGAGGAGGGGGGGAGGGGGAGGGGGAGGAGGAGGAGGAGGAGGAGGAGGAGGAGGAGGAGGAGGAGGAGGAGGAGGAGGAGGAGGAGGAGGAGGAGGAGGAGAAGGAGAAGGAGGAGGAGGAGGAGAGGAGGAGGAGGAGGAGGAGGAGGAGGAGGAAGGAGGAGGAGGAGAAGGAGGAACAGGAGAAACACGAGGAACAGGAGGCGAGGAGGAGGAGGAGGAGAAGGAACAGCAGGAGGAGCAGGATACGAGGAGGAACAGCAGGAATGATAGGAGGATGAGGCCAGTTAGCCCCCTGGCGCACCCCAGCCCGGCAGGTCAAGGCGCAGGGGGCGAAAGAGGCGCCGGAGGAGCCCGTCCTCAAGCGCCGGGTTCAGGCGCCGGGGCTTTGCCCGAGGAACTGAGAACCTCTTCCTCCTCCCCTCTTCCGCCCTCCTCCACCCTTCTCCACCCATCCGAGGAAGACAGGACCTCTCCTACCCGTCTTCCTCCACCCTCGTCCACCCTCCTCCTGGCTCTGGCCCCGGTTCAGATTCTGTTGGCTGCACGTGGGGGGGAGCGGGGCGCGCGGCAAACAAGAATAATGTCCTCAGACCTCCAAGTCCTGTCTCGCCGCTGGCCCAGGGTGGGGGCGGAGGGATGGGGTCGCGGCAGGGTGCAAGATGGCGCCGGTCCCTGGCCCAATTACCCCTCCCCTCCACGCCTGCCTCCTTTCTCCTCCTCCTCTTTTTTCTCTGCCTCCCTCTTCCTACTCCTCGTCCTCCTCCTCCCTCTTTCTTCTTCTCTTTCCTCTCCCCGTCCCCCTCGTCCTGGACTCCCCCATCATCCCTCCCCTCGTCGTCCTCCAACTCATCCTCGTCCTCCTCCTCCTCCTACTCCATCGCGGCCACAGCTTCGCACGACGAGCTGGGTTGATCACCCCTCTCGGAGAGAAGGGAGGAGGAGACTGAGACCATGCGGAGGAAGAGGAAGAGGGAGGGGGAAGAGGAATGAAAAGGAGGAGAAGGAGGTGGAGCAATAGGAAACGGGAGGGGAGGAGGAGAATGTGGAGGAGGAGGAGGTCCAGTGTAAACCGAAGACCTATGAACAATGTTGCAATAGAGCCTTTTCTCCGAGTTCCCTCTTCACAGGTCCGTGCAAAGAGTCACTGTCACTGAGGAAAGTGCCCCGTTGGAAAACAAACGTTTGAAATTCCTGAGACGTGCCGGGATATCACGCCTGGGAGCCCCACGCTGCGACTCAACGTCACTGCTGCGCCCTGACGACCCTGAACCGAGCCAGAACACCATTCCTGGGTTCTCAACACCGCGAAGTAACGTGACTCGTGCGCCCTGACAGTCTTTCACTATGCCCAAGCGCCGTTTCTGGGTCGCCAATCGTAAGAACCCTTGGCGCTGCTGCAGGCTTTGACGGAAGACGAATGCGCGCGGCACTCAGGCGAGCGCCACATGTTGGGAAGGTGCTGTTCTCCATCCGAGAAACTGCTGTACACAATTAACATGTATGTGCGCGGCACGTAGGCGAGAGCAACATTTTGAAAACCACCCGCCTTCCATCTGTGAAGCTTCACAAACTTTTAAGACGAATGTGCGCGGCGCTTCGGCGAGAGCCGCATTTTGAAAACGGCTCGCCTTCCATTGTGAAGTTTCTTGGAACTTGCAGGACGAATGGGTTCTGCGCTTCGGCGAGAGCCGCATTTTGAAAACGACCCGCCCTCCATCCGTGAACACCTTGCAATTTTTCAAGACGAACGTGCGCAGAGCTAAGGCGGAAACCACATTTTGAAACGGCCCGCCCACCATCAGTGGCCCTACACAGCACGGGCGGCCCAGGGGAGAATGCCTGGCTTGGCCCGCCTTCCATGCCAGAGCACCGCCGCTCCGACGCGCAATTCGAAATTGCGCTGGGCGTGCGCCTGGGCGAGAACCTGCCCCGCTGCACGTGATATGCCAGCACAGGCACCCCGACGGGAGCGTGTGCGGGGCAGTGCTGGACTCGAAGGGGCAGTTTGCGCGGTCCTGCGCTGTGGGCGGATGGCTACCACCGCCACGACGCTGGCTACGCTGTGCTGAAGGCGCGGTGCCAGGACATGGGCTGCGCGGTCCACGAGGATGTGGTCTCGCTGAACGCGGCCGCCAGCTGGACCTCATCATCCACGCCCTTCCTGTGGCGGCGCCCATCATCCACGGCCCCCGTGGACCTGACTCTCGTCAGCGCGCTGGCACGCGGGTTAGCCTGGCGCGCCGGCACCGCGGCCGCGACGGCAGAAAACGACAGGCGCATTGGGCACCCTGGCCTCATAATGGCCCGTTAGCGGTCGAGGACCACGGCATGGCGAAGACGACATGGCCTTGGTGCGCTTGTTGGCTCGGCCGCAAGACGTCTAGCGGTCGGTGGGCATTGGCTGGCTGCACCAGACTGCAGCGCCACGCGGCTGACGCCGTGCTCGCGGCCACGCGGCGCCAGGCCTGGCGAGGGCCCCAAGCAGGGCGTTGAGCGCGCCGCACTGGCTCTGCCTCGGCGCGCGGCGACCGCGCGGGGCAGTTCTTGCTGGCCGGCGGCGCGGGGGCTGCCACCATGCGGCGAGGGCAGGGCCGCGCTGCTGCTGGGCGCAGCCGTCGGGCGGCGCGTGGGCCGGGGCGCGGGGCGTTCGGGGGCCAGGGCGCATGGCGCGAGTGACCGCGCGAGGTTGGCGCGGCGCAAAGCGGAGAGCAGCGTTGGAGGCGGACGATCAGCGCTCTCGCCCAGCTCCTTCCTCCATCGTGGACTTCGCTGTGCTGATCCCGGGCATGGTGGGTAGGCCCTGACTGGCGCAGCCCCTCCTCCTCGGGGGCGGCCGCCGCTGAGGGGTGAGCCGCACCTGGGGTAGAGGGGCTGCACCGGCTCCCGGCCGCCCAGCAACCGCGGCAAAGGGGCCCGCGTGGCGCTCGGAGGAAAGGGGAGGAGGACGAGGAGGAGGAGGAGGAGGAGGAGGAGGAGGAGGAGGACCAAGGACCCCTCTTGCGCTGGCAAGTTGTGGGCACGAGCCTCGAGGTCTATCGAGTCAGTCTTGCGCCGAGCGCCTTCTGGCAAGTTGCACAGCCACGAGCCTCGAGATCTCTCGAGTCAACCTTTTGCCGAGCGCCTGCTGGCAAGTTGTATAGCCGCGAGCCTCGAGATCTCTCGAGTCAGCCTTGTGCCGAGCGCCTGCTGGCAAGTTGTAAAGCCACGAGCCTCGTGATCTCTCGAGCAAGTCTTGTGCCGAGCGCCCAGGATCACCATCATCATCGTCGTCATCACCATCATCATCCTCATTCCCGGGAAAATGTTTTCATTATTCCCGCCAAAACCACGACGTTTATCATCCCCTGGTGATTATCATCGCCCGCACAGGGATCAGACAGATACGAAGGATAAGCCGAATGCTAGAAATAATAAATATACGAATATGAGTGATGATAATAATGGGAAGAATTTTATTGTTAAGAAGAATAATAACACTGACCGTACTATTAATAACAATTCCAAGAGTAGTCGTATTCAAATCGGTCACGATGCAAAAGAAGCGTATTATGATGATGATGATGATGATGATGAGGAGGAGGAGGAGGAGGAGGATAACGAGGAGGAGGATAACGAGGAGGAGGATAAGGAGGAGGAGGAGGAGATGCGATGCGTTCTGGAACGATCAGAATTGGGACAGCGGAAGTCAAGGAAATGGCCCCGCTAGGAACCCAAACCGAATTATCTCCAGAAACCTTGGCCTTCGGCCTCTTGGACCGCTTTCAGATGACCAGGAGGAGGTGGATGGTGCTGATGATGATGATGATGATGAGGAGGAGGAGGAGGAGGCATAACAGGAGGAGGAAGCGGAGGAGGAGGAGGAGGTGGCGGAGGGGAACAAGGATGAACAGGAACACCAAAACGAACAGAAGGACGACGAGCAGGAAAAGCATTGAGCGATGTTAACATACACCTTCCCTCTAAGATCCCTCTCTATAGGCCCTACGGGGGAACATTTCCAATGAGGAAGTACCCCGTGGGGGACAACCGTGTGAACATCTCGAAGCTTGCCAGAACACCCCATGATTTCAACGTCACGTCGTAACCTGGCTGTTACATATTGGCAATCCTGAGTCGCGCCAGAAAGCCAGTCATGGAGCTTCAACATCGTGAATCAATGTAACTGCTGCTCCCTTGGCATCCTGAATCGTTCCGAAACGCCGTTTTTGGTATGTTAACAACCATGGGAATTAATAACATGTCTGCACATGATTAAAATGAATGTGCGCGGCGCCACGGCGAGAGGCACATTTTGAAAACGGCCCACCCTCCATGTGTGAAGTTCCCTGGGACTTTTAGGACGACTCTGCGCGGCGCTAAGGCGAGTGCCACATTTTGGGAAACAGCGAATTACTCCGACGGAAGGACCCCGCATGAGAATCCTCTGGGCGAATATGGAAAAAAACCCTCACCGTCGTTCTCGTGGTTGGTGAGGCGTCCTGGCTGTTTCTTCTGCGTATATTTTTTCTCGCCCTGGCGCGGGCCCTCCCCCCGCTCCCTACGTTGCCCCCGACCTCGTCATCATCATCATCATCATCATCATCATCATCATCATCATCATCATCATCATCATTCTCATTATCATTATCATTATCATCATCATCGTTTGTGTCAGAATGGATACGTGCCGAACACGACCCAGAGGAAACGCACAGGGTGCGTCCCATTGGATGCGTGCGGGGGCACGACCCAGAGGAAACGCACAGGGGTGCGTCCCAGTGGATACGTGCCAGGAGTAGCGCTCTGGGAACACTACGAACACAAAGTGGCCTACTGTTGGCTCCGGACATTCAGAATGTGGCCCGTTCTGGGACCACGAAAAACACGAAGTGGCCTACAGTTGGCTCCGGGCATTCAAAATGTGGCCCGGGAGTGGTGTTCTGGGAACACGAAGAACACGAAGTGGCCTACAGTTGGCTCCGGGCATTCAGAATGTGGCCTGGGAGTGGCGTTCTGGCAGCGCGAGAGCCCAAAAGTGGCGAAGGTTATAGGAATTGGATGACCCGCTCGGATTAGTAACATGATCCGCGGGCCCCATAGGGAGGGGGCTCCCGCTTGAGACTTCCTCGGGTTAGTAACATGATCCGCCTGGGAATGGCGTTCTGGCAGCGCGAGAGCCCAACAGTGGCGACAATTACAGGAATTTGATGACCCGCTCGGATTAGTAACATGATCCGCGGGGCCCATAGGGAGGGGGCTCCCGCTTGAGACTTCCTCGGGTAAGTAACATGATCCGCCTGGGAATGGCGTCTTGGCAGCAATTGGATGACCCGCTCGGATTAGTAACATGATCCGCGGGCCCCATAGGGAGGGGGCTCCCGCTTGAGACTTCCTC